TGGTTTTAATGAGGGTGATGTTTGGGTTACTTGCCTTCAAATCTTGGCCATTCACCTCAGTTTCCTAACCTTTTAGGTACTTTAGTTTCCTCATGTAAGAAACAATGGCTCAGTGGATTTTTTTGTTTTTTTGGTGTTGGTCAAGGGGCTTGAACTCTGGGCCTGGGCACTGCCTCTCAGTTCTTCAGCTCAAGGTGAGTGCACCACTTGAGCCACAGAACCACTTCTGATTTTCTGGTGGGTATTTGGAGATCAGAGTTTCATGGACTTTCTTGCCCGGGTTGGTCTTCAGATCTCAGCCTCCTGAGTAGGTAGGATTACAGGTATGAGCACCAGTGCCCGGCTACTCTGCCATATTTCTTTTCTTTTTTCTTTCTTTCTTTTTTTTTTTTTTTGGGTCCTGTCATGGGGCCTGAACTCTGGGCCCGGGTGCTGTCCCTCAGCTCTTCAGCTCAAGGCTAGCGCTTTACCACTTGAGCCACAGTGCCACTTCTGGCTTTTGAATTTTTGCTTATGTGGTACTGAGAAATTGAACCCAGGGCCTCATGCATACAAGGCAAGCCCTCTACCACTGAGCCACCTTCCCAGCCCTTACTCTGCCATATTTCTATCTCAGAATTTTCAAATGAAATCCCAGTTTTGAGAAGAAAACCTTAAGTTGTTAAAATGAATTTAGCTTTTTTGGTTTACATAAATGTTTCCTAATCTGTTGTTGATGGAGTCTATTATAGCACTAGCTGGCCTTGAATTTGGTGTCCTGCTTTTAGTCTCTTGAGTAGCTAGGATTACAGACGTGAGCCACTGGCACCTGGCTCTGCTTCCACTTTTAAAACATAGCTGTATAATAATGGAAATATCATTTACATATTATATAATTCCCATTCTGCTTCCACTTTTTTTTTCTTCCAATACTAGGGGTTGAGCTCAGGGTTTCACACTTCTTTTTTAACAAGGCTGGTGTTCTACCACTTGAGCCATACCTATAGTTCCTGCTTTTAGCTGGCTAATTATAGCTAGTCCAGACTGGGTTCAAATTGTGACCCTCAGAGCTCAGCCTCCTGAGTAGGTAGGATTATAGGCATAGCCACTGATGCAAAACTTTGCTTTTACTTCATTTATTCTATTTATTATTTTTATGCCAGTACTGGGACTTGAATTCAGGGCCTTATTGTCTGGCTTGACTTTTAATCTCTCAAGGCTTATGCTCTACTACTTAAGTCACAGCTCCAATTCCAGCTTTTTGCTGGTTATTGGAGATAAGAGTCTCTCAGATTTGTCTGCCTGAGCTAGCTTTGAACTGTGATCTTCACATTTCAGCCTCCTGAGTAAGTAGGATTATAAGCATAAGCCATTGGTACCTGGCTCCCATTCCTTTTAATTGTATTTCAAGACAGGATTTTAGTTGTTTAGCTGGCTTTGAATTTGGGGTCCTCTTGCTTTAACCTCCCAAGTAGTTGGTGCACAGATATGTACCACATGCTAGCCCTGACTTAATCTTGTAGCAAGTAGGCTATGGAGTGTAGTAGGGTCATCCTAAAACTCGATTTTGGAGAAAGCAATGAAATAAGGTGCAAAATTGAGGTGTCAGAAAAAATAGCACAGACTTTTTGGGCTTCTACAGTCTTCCATTTATGTTTGTAGATTAGTGTGTGGTACTTCAAAATGGCATTTTCCCACTGTCCATTTGTAGTACAATAAGACAAATTAATACAAATCAAAATAATATGGCAGCAGCATCACATAATTTGTGTACACTGATGTAGTAACAGATTTAATTTAGTGCGGCTTTTGAGAAGTCTTTTGTATTTCAATTTATACAGCTGCTATCCAAGGGCTAAGCTGGCCAATCTCTCAGCTCAGCCTTGAGTATCTTGCCGACTGCTTCTCTTTTTATGATTGCAGGCTAGCTCAATGAATGATCCATTTTCAATGTACCTTGGTTTTCTTTTCTGAAAAATGAGAAGAAAGTACATACTACTAACTAAAGATGTTAGGCTAGTGAAAATAAAAGCAGATGTGAAGGACTTTAAGTTCCCCCAAAACAGATCCAAAAAGAAACAACATACTTTGTCCCTAGTCCTGATATTTTCTATGAATAACTCCTTAAAATGAGGCAGCTTGCAATTGTAAACAGGGCAATGAAGACTGAGAAGTAGCTGCTATATTTGGCCTCCTTGGCATAAGCTATCTCAGCAGAAGTCTGATCACAGTGGGTTGAGAAATGAGCAGAATGTGAGGGTGAGACCACAGAAAGTAGAGGTCACTGGGGTAATTTGGCTGTGAAAGGAGGGAGGAAGGCCATATGTTTTATGACTATTGGATCAAGGCTTTGTTATTATTATTGGTGTTTTCCAAAAAGATGGGAAATGGTTGAGTGATAGGAAAAAAATAATAGAATGCCAGGTTTGTGGCTCATCCTAGTAATTCCAATATCTAGGTGGCAGACGCAAGAGGACTATGAGTTCAAGACTAGCCTGAGCTATGGAGAGGACCCTGACCAACAATACCAAACCAAACAAAGCCAAACAAAAACCTGGAGCTGGGCACCAGTGGCTCATGCCTGTAACCATAGCTACTCAGAGGGTTGAGATCTGAGGAGCACAGTTTGAAGCCAGCAAGATTAGGAAAGACCATGAAACTCCTATCTCCAAAAAACTACCAGAAAACTGGAATTGGCTCAATGGCTCAAAGTGGTAGAGTACTAGCCTTGAGTGAAAAAGCTCAGGGACAGTGCCCAGCCCTGAGTTCAAGCACCATTACTGACAAAAACAAAACAGAACAAAAGACCTAGTAGAGGTGGTTAATGAGGGCAGTGAGATCTCTGAAAATGTAGGAAAGGTATTAAAAAATATTTAAGGGCTGGGCTCAGTGGCTTACAACTGTAATCCCAACTATTTGAGAGGCAGAGGGCAGGAGAATAGAGGTTTGAACAAACCCAGGCAGATAGTGACATTCTATTTTCAAAGAACACGCTAGTTGGGGTGATTCATGACTGTGATCCCAGCTATATAGAAATAGAAGGATCATAGTCTGTAGCAAGCCCAGACCAAAAAAAAAAAAAGACCCTATCTATATAGAACTAAGGCAAAAAGGGCTAAAGGTGTAGTCTAAGTGGTAGAGAATCTGCTTAGTAAGTACAAGGCAAGGTCCTGACTTTAAACATCAGTACTATATTTAAAAACTCAAAACAAGAAAGAAAAAAAAAGAAAGAAAAAACGTCTAGGTAGCTACTCCTGAGCTGATTTGGCTAGTCAGCGTTGTTAGACAACTAGTTTCTATATAATTCACTACTCTTCGTAAGTCTGTACATATTGTTGCCCTGATTGCCTCTAGCAATCTCAACCATTGTCTTTTTTTTCCCCAGTCCTGGGGCTTGAACTCTGGTCACTTTCCCTGAGCCTGTTTGTGCTCAAGGCTAGTGTTCTACCACTTGAGCCACAATGGTACTTCTGGCTTTTCCTGAGTAGTTTATTGAAGGTGAGTCTAATGGACTTTCCTGGCCATGCTGGCTTGGAACCGCAATCTTCAGATCGAAGCCTCCTAAGTAGCTAGGATTACAGGCATGAGCCATGTGCACCCAGCTTATTGCACTTCTGTTACTAAGATTTTAGAGCCAAAGCACTAACTTCAGGTTCCCAATGGGCTAGACTTTGCTACCTGTTCCAAAATGCCAGTCATAGGGACAGGTATGGTAAAGGACAAAGAAAGGAATTTTATCATATTTATTTATTTATTTTCATTTTTTAATTTATGTGGTACTGAGAAATTGAACCCAGGGCCTCATGCATGCTAGGCAAGCACTCTACTGTTAAGCTACATTCCCACCCCCTGAGAAGTTTAACTGATGTGACCATGTTAGAAAGAAGGTTCAGTGACCTCAAATCCTTTTTGAAGGGACTAACAAGAACTTTGAAGTTTTTCTAGAAAAGGAGAGGTCTAGGGTATGCACATGTGACAGAGCAGATGATCTTGGTTAGGCCAGTGGCCTGCCTCATCATGATCTCAGTTCTGCTCCTACAAGGGGTTGGGGGGGGGGGGAGGAGTTGTGATTATTGCTATCACTTGAGGGTGGAAATATGGTTCCCATGAGGTAATAGTGGTGTCATAGGTAACTGCTGTCATTTGAAGAGACTGTGAGCTTATGAGATGATCTGCCTGGGAGGCTTTTTTGTCATAAAAATATTTGTCAGTCCTATCCTTCCTGGACTCCAGGAGAAAAAAACAAAAACTAGATAGAGAGGGACAAAAATGGAGGCAGTTAGAACAGTGACTAGTTTCCTTCATTTTCATCTATAGATAGTGGGCAGTAAAAGTGAGGTGGGGGGATGTATCCCCATCTTTTTGCTTATATCTCATTGTTTGGATCTGATCACATGTCCATACTTGACTACAAGAGAAGAGAGGAAATGTAATATACGAACAGCCTTAAACTTCTATTCAGGGCCGGGAAGGTGGCTCAGTGGTAGAGCGCTTGCCTTGCATGCATGAGGCCCTGGGTTCAATTCCTCAGCAACACATAAGCAAAAAGAAAAAAAAGCCGGAAGTGGCGCTGTGGCTCAAGTGGTAGAGCGCTAGCCTTGAGCTGAACGCTGAGGGACAGCGCCCAGGCCCAGAGTTCAGGCCCCACGACTGACCAAAAAAAAAAAAAAAAAGAATGTGCTAAGTTACTGTTATTAATTGTTGCTTCTGGAAAACAAAGAGGGCACCAACTGGTGGCACATCGCAGCACTGGAGGGAGAAGCTGAGGCAGGAGGATCTAGAATTCCAGGATATTGTGGGCTACATAGTTAGAGCCTGTCTCAAAAAAAAAAAAAAAGGAGGAAACAAAGAAGGAAGGAAGGAGAAGAAGGAAAGGGTGGATAAGGGCATTGCTTAGTGGTAGAGCATGTATTTAGCATGCAAGAAACCTTAGGTTAAATCTCTAGCACCAAGTGTTTGGGGCACTAGCACTATTAAATATATTTAACAAAGTCTAAAATGTCATGTGTTTTTGTTTATAGCCTATACAGTTCAGACATTGGAGAGCATCACCTCAACTGCTGCTTCTGAGGCCCATTTGAAAGCTTTGGCTATTTGCCAAGGACCCCTGGACCATTATGACTTTCTGATCAAAGCTTGTGAGCTAAAAGATGATGAACATCAAAGAAGAGTCATCCAGTGTTTGCAAAAGTTATATGAAGATCTTAACGGGTACAGTGTAGAGGCAGAAGGCTTTTTGTCAAAGGTAAGGTTTGTGTGACAAATGGAAAAGTTAAAAGTGTAGGCATTTCATTAGACAAAATAATGGCATTTGCAGGGAAATGGATGGAACTAGAAGAAATCATGTTGAGTGAGGTAAGCCAAGAGCAAAGAGACAAACGGCACATGGTCTCCTTGATAAGTGGATGTTAAATCCAAAACGTAAGGTGATACGACAAAGCAAGCAAGACTCAAGAAACAAAGGACCTCCACTCATCTGGTTGAATCATTACTAAATGACCCCATGCTGCTGATCACATATATGGTATATATGTGCACATTGGAGGGAAACTAGGAGGAAGATACAGAACTAGAGGGAAACGGGAAAACATACAACAGTAGGACCCATCAGCTGCACTGGACTTTGATCAAAACGAACCAAGCAACTCAATGGCAGCGATGGGAGGGAGAGAATGAGTGGGAAAGAGGGAACAGCTGACACTGTGCAAAAGGAAAGGAATGTACATATCACCCAATGTGGAAGAAATAACTGTATAGTCAAAATCCATAGAATTCATAAACTTTATAGACCACAATGAACAATTTGCCCCATGAAGGTTAGAATGTGTTTGTGACTTTAACTAAGCATCACTATTCCACAATATTGTGAAATTTGTGAAGTTATATAATCACTTAATCACAATAAAAAAATTTGCAAAAAAAGTCTAAAATTTTTTAAAAAGTGCAGGCATTTTATAAAAAGGATTCAGGGCAATGGGGCATGATCATGAAACAGCTGGAAAGTTTCCTATCAGTTTCTTTAAAGGAGTGTTGTCAGCTATGTTCCATAGTTTGCTTTCTTCTTCATGGATTCATGCAGTTTTTTTTTTTTGTCAGTCATGAGACTTGAACTCTGGGCCTAGGTGCTGTCTCTGAGCTTGTCAGCTCAAGGCAACTGCTATACCATTTTAGCCACAGCGCCACTTCTGGCTTCTTCTTGTTTATACAGTGCTGAGGAATCAAACCCAGGGCCTCATGCATGCAAGGCAAGCGCTCTACCACTGAGCCACCTTTCCAGCCCCTCAAGCAGTTTTATAGGTTATTAAAAGATGAAATGCAGGCTGGGAATATGGTTTAGTGGTAGAGTGCTTCCTAGCATGCATGGAGCCCTGGGTTTAATTCCTCTGTAACACATAAACAGAAAAAGCTGGAAGTGGAGGTGTGACTCAAGTGGTAGAGAGCTAGACTTGAGCAAATGAGGCATAGGGACAATACCCAGGCCCTGAGTTCAAGCCCCAGAACTGGCAAAACAAAAATAGTAACAACAAAAATTCCCAAGTCCAGTCTCAACAAAATTTTGACACAATTCCAACCTCTCCCTTTCTTCTAGCTCAGCTCTTAGTCTGGGAAGAGTTGTGGAGAAAGGGATATGGTTTTTCCTTTTTAGTGATTTGTGTGTGTGTGTGTGTGTGTGTGTGTGTGTGTGTGTGTGTGTGTGTGTGTGTGTGTGTGTGTGTGTGTGTGTGTGTGTGTGTGTGATTAGAGTTTGAATTCAGGGCATTGTGCTTGCTAGGCTAATGGTCTTCTACCTGAGCCACTTTTTTTTTTTTTAAATGCCGGTCCTGAGGCTTGAACTTAGGGCCTAGCCACTGTCCCTGAGCTTTTGTGCTCAAGGACAGTTAGGACTACCACATGAGCCCCAGCTGTACTTCCAGGTAGTAAATTGGAGATAAGAGTCTCACAGGCTTTCTTTCTTGGGATGGCTTCAAACTGCAATCCTCAAATCTCAGCCTCTTGAGCAGCTAGGATAGAGATGTGAGCCGCTGGTACCTAGCTTAAGTTAAGTGTTTTTAAGTTTTAAATTGCTCTTTTTGTCTTTCTCCTTTCTTGTCTTGCTTTCCTAAGCATGAGAGATAGGAAAGAGTAGGGCAACACATCAGAGTCTTAGGTACCCAGTCAACTTCTGGAGTCTGTTTGTTGAGGCTGTTAGCTCTTTATTTGGGCTGCACTTGTAGTCTGTTCCAGACTCATGGTGACCTTCATGATGTTCTATTTGATTACGTTCTCAAGACTCTGGGACCCTCTTGCTCTTATAGTTAGCCTTCTTGGGGCAAGTTCTTTTACAATGGTCCTGGCTGAATCACCTTTCATGGTGTCCACTTAGGACACAGGAAGCATAGTATTTTGTTCCACTAGCCCCTACTTTGTGGGCAGCTTCAGTCAACTTCTTGTCCTTGGAGTTCTGTAAGGAAGAAGTAGAAGAAGTCCTGTAAACCCCTTATATTCCTGAGGATGCATGTCAAGTTCTTCCAAGAACTCTTCCACACTCTGCTCTGCTAGCTGCCTGTGGATCTTCCTCACTTAAGCGAGCATCTGGCTTGGAATGGTATGTACTTATCTCAATTTACTCTCAACCTTAATTTCCTTGGGAACCCTTCTGAAATTGGCATGGTAAAGCCACAACTTTCTGCCTTGATCACTTGTTTTTCATTTCATTTTGGTTTTAGACCTTTTTTATTTTTATATTTTTCCTCTTAACCTGTTTTTTGGGTGGGGTGGTATCATGCTGTGTAGCCTAGATTAACCTCAAACTCAAGATCATCTTACCTCAGACTCAGGAGTGCTGGGATTCTAGGCATGAGACATTATACCTGGTTTGCCTATGTTTTTCTTTTAAAATAATCCCTGCATGGTCTGAGGTCAAGTAGTAGATTGCCTGCCTAACAAGTACAAAGTTCTAAGTTAAAACCCCAGCACTGGACTGGGAATGTGGTTTAGTGGTAGAGTGCTTGCTTAGCATGCATGATGCCCTGGGTTTGATTCCTTTGTATCACATACACAAAAAAATTAATAAAAATTAAAAAAAAACAGTACTATGAAATACCACTTCCTACATGGATATAAATCATGCATGGTCTTAGGGTGTGTGTTGAGGGGAAAGGATTACTTCCTTTCATCTCCACTGAGCTTTTGCTGAAATTCTGCCACTACAGGAAAACTCTCATTTCTTATCCAGTTAGTGAAGCCAATGTCAACAGTGGCATCAACTTTAAATTATGAGAGATGTTAGTAGTAATAAGAGTTATAATCTGGGGCTGGGAAAGTGGCTCAGTGGTAGAGTGCTTTCCTTGCATGCACCAGGCCCTGGGTTCGATTCCTCAGTACCACATAAGCAGAAAAAGCTGGAAGTGGCGCTGTGACTCAAGTGATAGAGTGCTAGCTTTGAGCTGAAGAGCTGAGTGATAGTGCCCAGGCCCAGAGTTCAGGCCCCATGACCAGGAAAAAAAAAAAAAAGTTATAATCTGATTCAACCTAAGAAACCAATTCTTCCTTAATTGACTGGTCACTACTCTTTCTTTTCCTCCAACCCAACTTTCTTTTTTCTTCTTTCTTTTTCTTTTTTTGTTGTGGTAAGCTCTTTAGAAAAAGACATTGCTGGGCACCCCTGGCCCAGCACCTATAATCTTAGCTACTTAGGAGGATGAGATTTTAGGATTACAGCTCAGGCAGGGCCAGCCCAGGCAAGAAAGTCCAGGAGACTCTTAGCTGCAGTAAACTACCAGAGTGGAGCTGTGGTTCAAGTGGTAAAGCACTAGTTTTTCAGTAATAGAAATTTTATTTGTAGAGTCTTTAATTTTTTTTTTTTTTTTTTTGTCAGTCGTGGGGCTTGCACTCTGGGCTTGGGTGCTGTCCCTCAGCTCTTCAGCTCAAGGCGAGCACTCTACCGCTTGAGCCACAGTGCCACTTCTGGTTTTCTAGTGGTTTATTGGAGATAAGAGTCTCACAGATGTTCCTGCCCGGATGTTCCTGCCCGGGCTGGCTTTGGACCGAGATCCTCAGATCTCAGCTTTCTGAGTAACTAGGATTATAGGCGTGAGCCACCAGTGCCCAGCAGAGTCTTTAATTCTTGTAAATAATATTGACTGATTTTTTTTTTTTTTGTAAACTCAGGACCTCATACTTGTAGACAAACACTCTACCACTTAAACCATATTCCCTGTTGTTTTGCTTTTAGTTTCTTTTTCAGATAGGGTCTTACTCTTTTGCTTGAGCTGGCCTTGGACTGTGATCCTCCTATTTTAACATCCTTAGTAGCTAGGATTTAAGGCATTTACTACCTGGCTTGACTTCCTTCCTTCCTTCCTCTCATTTTCCTTTCTCTCTCCCTTTTTCTCTACTTCTCTCCCCTCTTTTGGTACTGAGGGTAGAACTTAGGGCTTTGTGCTCATTAGGCAGGCTCTTTTTGAGCCATGCCCAAAGCCCCCCTTTTGTTTTTCCAAGTAATGTCTATTGTTATTATTAAGATGTTGTTCAGAGGGGCTACCATTTCCTAAGTCAGGTAATGAGTACATTTCTTTCTTTCTTTTTTTTTTGGGTCCGGTCGTGGGGCCTGAACTCTGGGCCTGGGCGCTGTCCCTCAGCTCTTCAGCTCAAGGCTAGCACTCTACCACTTGAGCCACAGTGCCACTTCTGGCTTTTTTTTTTTTTTTTCTGCTTATGTGGTGCTGAGGAATTGAATCCAGGGCCTCATGCATACAAGGCAAGCGCTCTACCACTGAGCCACCTTCCCAGCCCCAGAGCCCAGAGTACATTTCTTTTATTGGACAATGTCACCCCTTCCTTTCCTTTCCTCCAGTTTTCCCCTCTCATTCCTGCCCAAGTTACATAGTGTATGCTTACTAGCATGATTGTATTTGTTTATCCTTCCTCTCTCCCTTTCCATGCACCACCACCCCAAAGAAAAATAATCCAAAGCGAAAACAAACATCACCACTACCACCACCAATAACAAAAAAACCCATGTTTCCATTTCTTGGAGATCATTTTGAGAAATAGTTTGTTTCATAAATTATACCTTTGTATTCCTTCCCCTAAGGGTATGCAGAGCCCTTTTTGCCTTTTTTTTTTTGGTACTAGTCCTTCGGCTTGAACTCAAGGCCTGGGTGCTATACATAAGCTTTTTTGCTCAAGGCTAGCACTCTATCACTTGAGCTTGAGCTCCAGCGCTAGCTACACTTCCAGGATTTTTAGTACTTTAGTGGAGGTAAGCGTCTCCCAGACTTTCCTGCCTAGGTTAGCTTTGAACTATGATCCTCAGATCTCAGCATCCTGAGTGGCTAGGATTATAAGTGTGAGCTATTGACTCCCAGCCCTTTTTTGCCTTTGTCAAGTTTTGAATTAAATGTCTACCTGGACTGTGATACTTGTATTACGCCTTCTATGTCACTAGAATGACAGGCACTACTACCACATCCATGATTGATTGAGATGGGATCTCAAATTTATTCCTGGGTATTTTGAACTGCCATCTTGTTAATCTCCCCCTACTGAGAAGCTAGGACTACAGGTATGAGCCATTAGTGTCTTGCTTGATTTGTTGTTGTTGTTATTGGCTGGGGGCTTGAACTCTGGGCCTGGGAGTTGTCCTTGAGCTCTTCAGCTCAAGGCTAGCACTCTACCACTTGAGCCACAACACCACTTCTAGTTTTCTGGTGGATAATAAGAGATGAGTCTTACGGATTTTCCTGCTTGGGCTGGCTTTGAACCATGATCCTCAGATCTCAGCCTCTTGAGTAGCTAGGATTACAAGTGTGAGCCCCTTGTGCCCAGCTTGTTTTAAGTGCGGATATTTAAACTTTTCATTCTTTTTTTTCTCATTGTAATCCTATAGAAACTTTCTATAAGCTGAAGCTATCATATTAAAATAAAATATACTTCCACAGATTTATAAATCAGTAAGGAAGAATTGGTGGCTTAATATTACACTGCCTTTACCTATGTAACAAAGCTTTTTCTAATGAATATTTGAAGAAGTTATAAGCAGACTAGGCCATACGTGTAGCAAACTATGAAGAATGAACACTTATGGACACTTTACTTTTGTTATGAAATAAAACTTACAACCAGGGTAACTCTGACACACTTAATGTATGCATAATTGTTATTGTGCTGTGAGGTAATTAGGCATAAATGGTAAGTAGTTCATGTAAATCACTATAATTAAAATTACTTTTACACAGCCGAATCAAGCATTTCTAGAGTCAGGGAGGGAGGGAATTAAATAGCATATGGAGCAACTCTGAAAATCTGTTTCCATTAATCAGGGGTATGTAGGAAGCCTTGTTTTTTTATCTCTTGGGAGAAGACTTCATGACATATTTGCAAGAAAGTTGAGGTTGGGGGTTGAAATACAGTCATGTATCACATAAAGATTTTTTGATCAATGAGGGACTACATGTACAACAGTGGTCCCATGTAATTGCAAGAGAGCCGAAAAGTTCCTGTCACGTAGTGATGCAGCACAGTGTATCATTACTCATTCTAAATAGAGTCTTCATGAAGTCACTCTAGACAAAGAGATTTAAGTTGGATGGTGGTGGCTCATGCCTGTAGATGTAGCTACTCAGGCTGAGATTTGGACAATTGCGATTTGAACCAACCTGAAAAAAAGCCATACACTCTTGTTTTATCTACAGCTATATAGCTAGCTTGTAGCCATAGCTTGACAACTTTTAAAGCCCCCCTTATTTAGATATTTAAATGGCTTAATTATACGAATAAATGAAACAAATTGATGTAGGTAAGGTTAAGAAGGTTGTTTTGCAAATCAGCAGCATTAAAATATTTTTATTTCATGGCAGTTTATGGATGCTAACATATAGTTCAGTTTTTTTTTTTTTTAGTTTTAAAAAATCTTCATAGAAACCTGAAGTGATCTACGTTTATCAAAAAGTGGTCCATGTTGAGAATGATATAATGTGAGTTTATAAAAGATGTAATTATACTTAGCATTCCAGCTGGAATCATTGTCTCTGATTCTGTCATTTGGGAAGATAATAATGCAGTGGTGGGGGGAGTGGAGAGAAACAGGAAAAGTAGTATTCCTGCATTTTCAACAAATTGAAAACAATACTTTTATCTTAACAGCAACACCCGTATTATCTAATTGTCCTAATGAAAATTAGGCTGAAATAGCAGGTGGATGGACATCCAGAAAGGCAGAGAATATACATTTTAATTTATAACTTTGATGAGAACTACCTTGTATCATTTTGTTGTTGCTGTTGTTCTGAGAAAAGGTCTCATTCTGTAGTCCAGGGTGGCCTCAGACTTGTGGTTCTCTTGTGTCTGCTTCCCATTGTTGGTATTATGTACAGCTGCTTACCACCATGTCCAGCCTAGCAAGTGTGAGGCTTTGAGTTCACTCCCCAATATTACCAGGGAGAGGGGCGGGGGAAGAGGGAGCAAGGGAGCGAGGTGGGGGAAAACAGGTATGGTTCTAGAGCTGTCCTCACCTCTATCTCACTGGGTCTCTGGTTTCCCAGGGAGCCTCTGTGTTTGCTAGGGCCTGTGTTTTCTTCTTCTTATGTGGGAGGTTTTCTGAGAGCCTATATTCATGAAAAAACAATTTTCCATCTTCACACTGGAGTATTTTGAGTGAATTAGATTGGAAATCATTTTGTCTTAACCTTCATTCATGTTTATGTCATTTGTAACCCATTTCCCAAGTCTGAGCTCACTATCACCCCAGAAGTTTACAGGATAGTCTTAAAATCCCCTGTGTTTAAAACATTCAGTATTGTAATGTGCTAGACATGAGGTCCCCCTAATCCTAGATATTCTTTCAGTTCTAGGAAAATTTTTACATTATTTTGTGGGAAGCATCTTCTTTTTCCCTCTCTCCCCTCCATTTCTTGTTTCTTTTTGTCAGATGTTAGAGCTACCTGAGTTAGTCTTATTTCATCATCATCATCATTATTATTATTTTGTCAGTTGTGGGACTTGAACTCTAGGCCTGGGTGCTGTCCCTCAGATCTTCAGCTCAAGGCAAGCACTCTGCCACTTGAACCACAGCACTTCTTTCGGTTTTCTGGTGGTTAATTGGAGATAAGAGTCTTACAGACTTTCCTGCTGGGGCTGGCTTTGAACTGCGATCCTCAGATCTCAGCCTCTTGAGTAGCTAGGATTACAGGCGTGAGCCACCAGTGTCCAGCTTCCTTATTTCTTATCATGCTTTCTTTTTCTTTTTGAAAGTACTGGAGTTTGAACATGGTCCTTATGCTTGCTAGCCAGGCACTGTATCACTTGAGCTACATCCTCTGGCCCTTGTTTGCTTTAGTTATTTTTCAGGTATGATCTCATGCTTTTGTCTGGGACCAGATTTGGACTAGGATCCTTCTAACTCCTGGGATTACAGGCATGTACTACCATGCTTAGCTGCCTCGGATCTATTTATTTATTTATTTTTGTCTTCTCTAAGTGCCTCATATAAGTAGAATTATACAGTATTTTTTTGGTGTGACTTATTTCAGCTAACAAAATGTTTCCCAGGTTTCTCCACATTGTTAGCTTTGTCAGGATTTCTGTCTTTTAAAACTGCAAAATAATCTAAGTTCATAGATTTATATGAAGCTTTCTTATGTATTGTATATAATAATTATACATAATAATATAGTAATTATATATAATTGTAATAATATAATAATTATATATAACATATATATCACAGTATGTGATTCTGCTTAATTATTTTCATGGAAGGGATTTATAATTTGTTTTTAATTTGCAGCTTTTTTCAAGGAGCAAACCTCCCAGGGGCCTGTATGTTTATGGTGATGTTGGTAAGTGTTAAAATAAATTTGAGTGAGCCAATCAGAAAAATTTCCAGTTTTCACTTAGGAATGACTTTCATTTCTAGCCCTTAATCCACTACCAGGAGGGAACAGGGTCAGGTAGGGTGAGAAGAGGCAGTTAGCTTTCATTTTGACTTCTTGTAGGATGTGGCAGTAAAGTAAGGCAGAATTAGATACTATATCAGGGTGCAAACATTATGTAACATATAAAGTAAGTTAAGTTTTGGGAGGGAAGTAGATAAATCAGGGTATTATCACTCAATGTTATTGGATTCAGCTGCTGCTGCTTTTTTTTTTTTTTTGCCACTCTTGGGGCTTGAACTTTGGGCCTGGACACTGTCCCTGAACTTCTTTTGCTCAAAGCTAGTACTCTACCACTTGAGCCACAGACCACTTCTCACCTTTTCCTGTTTATGTGATACTGAGGAATTAAACCCAGGGCTTCACATGTGCTAGGCAAGCACTCTACCACTAAGCCACATTCCCAGCTTGCCTCAGCTCCTTTTTTTTTAAAAGCTGTTTTTCATTTTAACCTTTCTTTTCTTTTCTTTCTTTTTTTTTGTCAGTCGTGGGGCTTGAACTCTGGGCCTGGGCGCTGTCCCTCAGCTCTTCAGCTCAAGGCGAGCGCTCTACCACTTGAGCTACAGCGCCACTTCCAGTTTTCTGGTGGTTTATTGGAGATAAGAGTCTCACGGTCTCTCCTGCCCGGGCTGGCTTTGAACCACGATCCTCAGATCTCAGCCTCCTGAGTAGCTAGGATTACAGGCGTGAGCCACCAGCGCCCGGCTTAACCTTTATTTTCTATTAATATTTCTACTCATAGTCTAAGCCTTTAATAACCTAGTTATGATTATGATTATTTTTTGGGCTGGTACTGGGGCTTGGACTCAGAGTTTGGGCACTGTTCCTTAGCTGTTTTGCTCAAGGCTGTTACTCTGCCACTTGAGCTACAGCTCCACTTCTGATTTTTTGGTGGTTACTTGGAGATAAGAGTCTCTGGGAGGGCTGGGAATGTGGCTTAGTGGTAGAGTGCGTGCTTAGCATGCACAGAGCCCTGGGTTCTATTCCTCAGTACCACATAGAAAAGTCAGAAATGGCGCTGTGGCTCAAGTGGTAGAGTGCTAGCCTTGAGCAAAAGATGCTCAGGGACAACACCCAGGCCCTGAGTTCAAGCTCAATGACTGGCAAAAACAGTTAAGAGCCTTAGCTGGGCACTGGTGGCCCATGCCTGTAATCCAAGTTACTCAGGAGGCTGAGATCCAAGGATTACAGTTCAAAGCCAGCCTGGGCAGGAAAGGCCATAAGACTTATCTCCAATAAACCATTCAGAAAACTGGAAGTGGCACTGTGGCTCAAAAGAGCGCTAGCCTTGAGCTGAAGAGCTGAGGGACAGCGCCCAGGCCCAGAGTTCAAGACCCATGATGGACCAAAAAAAAAAAAAAAACCAGAGGAAAAAAAAACATCAAAGGGTTGGGAGCCAGTGGCTCTTACCTGTAATTGTAGCTACTCAGAAGGCTGAGAGCTGAGGATTGAGCCCAGTCAGACAAACCTGAGAAACTCTTACCTCCGACTACCAGCAAAAAGTTGGAAGTAGAGTTTCGATTCAAGTAGTAGAATTCCTTTAATGAAAAAGCTAATCAAGTGGCTTTGTGGTAGAGTGCTTGCCTGAAGAAGCCCTGAGTTAGATTTCCCAGTACCACATAAACAGAAAAAAGCTAGAAGGGGCACTGAGGCTCAGGTGCTAGAGTGCTAGAGTAAAAGAGGCTCAGGGAAAGTGCCCAGGCCCTTAGTTCAGTCCCCTGGCAAAGAAAAAAAAAAAGAAAAAGAAAAAGCTAATCAAGAGTGCAAGACCCCTGAGTTCAAGCCCCAGTTACTTCTCTTTCTTTTTTTTTTTTTGCACATCAGACAGGTAATGTGCCCATGTCATAACAAGGTTTAGAGGGAGGCACATATCACGCAAGTGAATGAGAACCCAATCATCACACTTATGAACTGGAAAAGGATCACTTCTCTTTCTTTTCTTCTCTTTTAATAGCTCATGGGGCTTGAACTCTGGGCTTGGGTGCTGTCCCTGAGCTCTTCAGCTCAAGGTGATTGCTCTACCACTTGAGCCACAGCACCACTTCTGGTGATTCATTGGAGATAAGAGTCTCAAGACTTTCCTGCCTGGGATGGCTTTGAACTGTGATCCTCAGATCTCAGCCTCCTGAGTAGCTAGGATTATAGGTGTGAGCCACCTGTACCCGGCTACTTCTCTTTCTCTGTCTCTCTGTCTCTTCTCACATACACAGTATTCATGAAGCTCAAATTCTTTCATCTTTTCCCTCTCCCTTTAGAAAATAGCTCCCAGTCTCTTCTATTGTGCTCTATTGTATTAGTTTATTGGCTAATTGGAAGTTGTTTTTTTGGGGGGGTTTGGTTGTGGGGCCTGAACTCTGGGCCTGGGCACTGTCCCTCAGCTCTTCAGCTCAAGGCTAGTGCTCTACCACTTGAGCCACAGCACCACTGCTGGCTTTTTTTCTTTTTGCTTATGTGGTGCTGAGGAATCTAACCTAGGGCCTCATGCATGCAAGGCAAGCACTCTACCACTGAGCCACCTTCCTAGCCCTAATTGGAACTTTTGAGACCTATATTACTTGCTTCTTTTTTTTTTTTTTAGTCCGGTCATGGGGCCTGAACTCTGGGCCTGGGCGCTGTCCCTCAGCTCTTCAGCTCAAGACTAGTGCTCTACCACTTGAGCCACAGCGCCACTTTCGCCTTTTTTCTTTTTTGTCTATGTGGTGCTGAGGAATCGAACTCAGGGTCTCAGGCATGCAAGACAAGCGCTCTACCATTGAGCCACCTTCCAGCCCCCTTACTTCTTATTTATACCAGATGCTTATTAGTTTTCAATGCCTGCACCTTGGTTGCTGCTAGCAAACCTAATTGTGTTACCTTTAGTTCTTGGCTTCCTGAGAACATTTTACTTCCTATATCTTCACTTTCATGTTCAGTCATTGTGAAAATCAGCAGCTCTGTTTCTCCTGTTACTTTAACCACTTAACCACAGATGAGGGAAAAGGCTAAGTAAAGTAAAACTCTTTTTTTTTTTTTTTTGTCATGGGGCTTGAACTCTGGGTCTGGGTGCTGTCCATGAGCTCTTCAGCTCTAGGCTAGCACTCTACCACTTGAGCCACAGAGCCACTTCTGGTGGTTAATTGGAGATAAGAGTCTCACGGACTTTCCTGCCTCGGCTGGCTTTGAACTGTGATCTTCAGATCTCAGCCTCCTGAGTAGCTAAGATTACAGGCATGAGCTAATGACACCTGGCAGAAAAAGGAATTCTAAAATGAGAAATGGCTGGACCTTTTGGCTATCAGTTTAGAACACTTACAAAAACGGGTAGTAAAAGATGGGCATTGTGCTCCTTTTAAAGGCCTCTCTGACTGGAAGAATAGATTCAGAATGCCATCATAAGCTCTTCTAATTTTTTACTGTTTTCTTGAGATTTGAGAGGTAGGCTTAAATAAGAAAAGATATGTGCTTCTTCGAATTTCACTCCTCACACCTGTACTGGGTGTGGGCTTTGTCATGCCTACTTCATTCTATTCTCTTTGTGGATGTGTTTCATTTATTTATTTATTTATTTATTTTTTGGGTCCGGTCGTGGGGCCTGAACTCTGGGCCTGGGTGCTGTCCCTCAGCTCTTCAGCTCAAGGCTAGCACTCTACCACTTGAGCCACAGCACCACTTCCAGCTTTTTTCATTTTGCTTATGTGGTGCTGAGGAATCGAACCCAGGGCCTCAGGCATGCAAGGCAAGCGCTCTACCACTGAGCCACCTTCCCAGCCCCTGTGGATGTGTTTCAATGATTGACTTAGATGGACTTTAAAACCATGGAACTCCAGCAGAGTCCATATATCAACTGGTAGGATTAACATCATAATTCAACCTTGAAAAGAAAATCTTTATCATATCTTGCACAGAAAAGCTTCAGTGATATTATTTCAAAGCTTCATTCTTGTAGTACAGCTAGTGGTACTGGCATTTGAATTTAGGGCCTTGTGCTTGATAGGAGGTCTACCACTTGAGCCATTCCTATAAGTCCCTTTGTTTATTAGTTATTTTTTTTTATTGGTTGGTTCTGGGGCTTGAACTCAAGGCCTGGGCACTGTCTTCTAAGCTCTTTCGCTCAAGGCTACTACCTTTCCACTTTGAGCCATAGCTCTACTTCCAGTTTTCTGGTGGTTAACTGGAAATATTAGTCCCATAGACTTTCCCATCTGGGCTGGCTTGGATCCAAAGTCCTCAGATCTCAGCTTCCTGAGCAGCTAGGATTACAGGCATGAGCCACCAGCACCTGGCTCACTAGTTACTTTTGAGGTTGAGTATCATTTTATTTTCCCACTGACCTGGTCTGTGCTCTTCCTACTTGTTTTAATCCATGTGGCTAGGTATGATGGGCATACACTAGTATGCTCTGCAATTGTGCTTTCCCATAGTTAGGATGACAGGTGCATTCCATGCTATCCAGCTTTTGGATGAAATGGAGTATTGCAAACATATCAAGGCTAGTCTTAAACCTTGATTGCCTGATTTCTTATTTTATGATTTCTTATTTTATCTATCTATCTATCTATCTATCTATTTTTGAGCCCTTCTTAGAGCTTGAACTTAGGACCTGGGTGTTGTTCTTGAACATTTTTGCTCGAGGTTAGTGCTCTACCAATTACACCACAGTTCCATGTCTGGCTTTTATTTTTTAGTGGTTAAATGGATCTTCCTGCCTGGGCTGCCTTGGAACCAGGGTCCTCAGATTTCAGCCTCCTGTGTAGCTATTGCAAGCATGAGCCACTGGTGCCCAGTTCATTTTTATACTTTGTACATTTTTAGTTTATAGGATTAGCTTATTTTTTAGCTTTATTATTTGAATTTTATTATTTTATCCCTTTTAATGATTGCCCTAAAGTGGAAAATGTGTTTTATTATATTACAATCTTATAATAGTATTTTCATGTCACAATGAAACCCCTCACTTTATACAATATATGCTAATATAAATAATATTTGTGCCATTACCATCATCTATATATCTATATAGATTATTAACTATGTAGATTGCTAACCCCAGATAATACATTATTCTTGCGATTTTGTTTAACTTTAGTAGTACTGACTGGGGTTTGAACGCAGTGCTGCATACTTGTTAGGGGAATACTCTTACCTCTTGATCTAATGCCCCCCCAGCCCACTTAGTGTTGTTCTAGATAGTTATTGCCTAAAGAAATATAAAAATGATAAATTTTTCATATATTCACCAAAATATTTATCATTTCCTGTGTTCTTCATTTCCTTGTGTAGACTAGTTTCCATCTGGTATCATCTTTGTTCAGCCTGAAAAACTTTTTTCAATAACTTTTTGTAGCACAGATGTGCTGCTAATTCTTCTAACTTTTGTTTTTCTCAAAATGTCTTCATTTTCTTTCATTTTTGAAAGCCATTTTTCCTGAGAACATAGAAACCCTAGATCTTTTACTTTTTCTCACTTTTGTGTAATCAACATTGTAAATATTAATATGTTGACAGTTTGGATTGTTGTTTTCTTTGAAGTGTTTCAAAATTTGGAAGTGGAACTGTGGTCCAAGTGGTAGAACACTAACTTTGAGCTAAAAGCTAACTGATAGTGCCCAAGCTCTGAGTTTCAGCCTCATTATTGGCACCAAAAAAAAAAAAAAAAAAAAAGGAAAAGATATTGTGTATTGAATTTTATTTTGGCAAGCCAGATTGATTTGTTCAAACCTCTTCATTTTCTTTATTATCTTTGGGTTCCTTTTCTTTATTGTTGGCTTTATTCTTGATCAGAGTCTTCTGATGATGTGGGAAAGATGGCTCTTGATAGCTGACAGATTGCTCTCTCAGCAGGAGGAATCATGATCCTCCTCAGAATTTATAATAATCCCTCTGAAAGATTGACCACCAATCACATGGATCCACCCTATAATTCAGAATCACACCAAGCAGAAAAGAGGCAGTTTACAGAAGGAAGGGATTTAGGATAGACTGAGTATAAAAATCTCACAAACAAAAAAAAAAAAGGAAAAGAAAAGAAATAACATGTCTATTGTAGTCCATAAGAGCTCTTTGTATCTATATCCTTTTTTTTTTTATTGTGAGAATACTGTACCGAGGAGTTACAATTACATGGGCAAGATAATGAGTACATTTCTTATCAAGCATTGTTGCCTCCTCTTTGTTTCCCTTTCCCATCCCTTCCCATACTCCCCCCTTTCCTTCACCGGATCCTCCCCTCACACCATTTTTTTTTTTTTTTTGTTGCCAGTCCTGGGGCTTGAACTCAGGACCTGATCACTGTCCCTGACTTCTTTTGCTCAAGCCTAGCACTCTACTACTTGAGCCACAGTGCATTTTCTGCTTATATGGTACTGAGGAATGGGATCCAGGGCTTCATGTATGATAGGCAAGCACTCTACCACTAAGCTACATTCTCAGCACCTAATAGCATTTTAAAGATATAGTTTAGCATACAAAGTAAGTACCCTCTTCTAAAAAACTAAGAGTTTCCAGCTTTCCAATAAAGGAGTATAGTTTCATTATATCAAAGCTACTGAACAATCACTAGAGCAATCAGTAATACTGTTTATAGTATTCTCATTATGTTTTCTTTAATTTTTAAGGTACAGGGAAAACAATGGTGATGGACATGTTTTATGCATATGTGAAAACGAAGAGGAAAAAACGGGTCCATTTTCACGGTTTCATGCTAGATGTGCACAAAAGTAAGTTAATGATCTGAGAAAAGTGATTTTTCATGGGTAAATTCTACAAAATAGTTGGCTTTAGTGAACATCTAATTTTTAAAATTTGATTTGGCTTGAAATGTAAGGTGAATCACCCCAGAAGCCATATTTTAAAATATAGAATATTGGAGTCTTTATTATATAGATAACAGGCTGCAAGCTGCCAGTTGTTACAAAGGCCTGCAGCATGTAAATACACATAACACCGCTAGGAAACATGCTAAAGAGGGAAGAAATAACAGAAACAATACAGTACCAACAAGCCAATTCAGCTGAATTGGGACACCATGATGACTGGAGACGAACCAGGAGACAGGACACAGGACACGATCACAAAGACACATGTGGCATGGTCTTGGCAGCTAGGCTGGTCTGGGCCTAAATAGGTCTGTGCAGGGGGCAGATCCTCAGGAAATTCCCAGTCCCACGCACTAGACTGACAGATTCAGTAACCTATCAGCCAAGTGCCTGCCCCTGCCTCCAGGGATCTAGGCATGGCCATTACCTGGGAGGCAGGTGATGGGGGGTGGGGGGGAGGTTCCTTCCCCCAGCATGAAGACAAGATGCCAGACCTATAATCTACCATGTGGCCCAAATGGCGCCAGCCAGAACTGACCTCCTTACTTCAGAAATAAGGTTATGTTATACTAATCGAATCAGAACTGGTTCTCAAGACCAATTCAGTTTTTTCCAATCAGAATAGAGGTTAACTGTATAAAGACCCAGCATTTTCAATTTCTACTATGTATTGATGAAAAATGTTAAAAAATGTACCTATTTCAAGATGTTCTTTTTTTGTGTGGAGGTGGTACTGGGGTTTGATTTCAGGGCCTTATGTTTTCTTGGTTATCTATCACTCTATCAGTTGAACATATCTCTAGCTCTTCTTGTTTGGTTGTTTTTGAGATAGGGTCTTACATTTTTGCCTTAGCAAGCCTAACTTTGGATCTTTCTATTTACATTCCCCCTTGTAGCTGGAATGATAGGTATGCTCCAGCATACCTGGCCTTTTTTTTTTTAACCAGTCTTAGGTCTTGAACTCAGGGCCTGGGCACTGTCCCTAAACTTTTTGCTCAAGGCTAGCACTCTACCAGCTTTTTCAGTTGAGATATAGTCTCAAGAACTATGCCTTAGCCAGGCACCGTTGGCTCACACCTGTAATCCTAGCTACTCAAGAGGCTGAGATCTGAGGGTCATGGTTCATAGCCAGCCCGGACAGGAAAGTCTGAGGGACTCTTATCTCCAATAAACCACTAGAAAACTGGAAGTGGCCCTGTGGCTCAAGTGGTAGAGCACTCGCCTTGAGCTGAAGAGCTGAGGGATAGTGCCCAGACCCAGAGTTCAAGCCCCACGACCAGAAAAAAGAAAAAAAGAAGAACTTTGCCTGAGCTGACCTAGAACCACCACAATCCCCTCCCCCCTTCTTTGTTTCTAATTAGCTAGGATTGGCTATAACAATAAGCAACTGTGCCCAGCAAGAAGTTATGGATTAGGGACTGCTCTTTGTAAGCATTTAGCTTGTATTTGCATGTAACTTTTGTTTCTTTTCCTAGTATTCTTTCTTCTTCTTCTTCTTCTTCTTCTTCTTCCTCCTCCTCCTCCTCATCTTCCCTCTCCCTCCTCCCCCTCCTCCTCCTGTTCTGGGTCTGGACACTGTCCCTTAGCTCTTCAGCTCAAGGATAGTGCTCTACCATTTGAGCCACAGCACCACTTCTGGCTTTTTCTGCTTATGTGGTGCTGAGGAATTGAATCCAGGGCCTCATGCATGCAAGGCAAGCACTCTACCACTGAACCACCTTCCCAACTCCCTAATATTCTTATATTATTTCTTTGTGTGTGTGTGTGTGTGTGTGTGTGATTTTTCTTATCAACTACGCTATAATCCTCCTACAACAGAAGCATTGTAGTTTTTTTCCTAATATGTTCAGCATTTAGTAAACATTAAATGACACGAGATTGGCTAGAATGTTATGAGCTGGAGATAAGGGAACATTTTGATTAGATATGCTAGACTTCTTGGGCTACATCACTCCCATTCCATCACTGAATTCTTCAAGACTGATAGCAATATACTGAACTGTCTTATTATGTATCTCTTAATCATCTCTGATGTGATTCAAGAATGGATCTTGAAGCTTCTTTACAACTCCACAACTATAATAATACTTGAATAACTTATCTGAAGGTAGAAGAAACACAACCAATTTCAACAGTCAACTGTGGTAGTATATAGAATTTAATTTTGATGTTTGAGCTAGTTTCACTTAGGAATTAAAAAATAGTTGCTTAAAATATACTGTTAATATTGTATTTGGTCTGTGTTAAATTTCATTCATTTAAGGAATTCATCGCCTTAAACAGAATTTGCCAAAAAGGAAAGCAGGATTCATGGCTCAATCATATGACCCAATAGCTCCCATTGCTGAAGAAATCAGCCAAGAAGCATCTCTCCTGTGTTTTGATGAATTTCAGGTAAAATGGAGATTTTTTTTAATAGAGAATGATATAATGAATGGAGTATAAAGATTTAAATTTTGCTCCTGTTGTTTTATTGTTGTATAAATCAATTTGATTCATCACTTTAACTTTCCTATCATTACAGGGGTCAGAAAACTATGGTATACATGTGGGTGAATCTAGCCTCCCTTTCTATGTGTGGCCCCTGAGAAAAGTATTTATGTTTTTAAAGGTCGTTGAAAGAAGAAAAATGAAAATACAACACATATATACTATGTCACATGCAAAACCTAAAATAAAATACTTTTCAGTCTTTTTTTTTTCTATTGGTGATACTGGGGTTTGAATTTAGGCCCTTGCTAGTCAGGTGCTCTACCAGCTGAAATGTGCTCCTAGTCCTTTTTTTTTGTCAGCTGTGGGGCTTGAACTCTGGGCCTGGGCGCTGTCCCTCAGCTCTTCAGCTCAAGGCAAGCGCTCTACCACTTGAGCTGTAGTGCCACTTCCTGTTTTCTGGTGGTTTATTGGGAGATAAGAGCCTCATGGCCTAAGATCCTCAGATCTTAGCCTGCAGTCCTTTTTGATTTTTGTATTCCTTTGAATAAGAATTTGCTTTTAGCTAGGGCTGGCCTGGACTGCAATCCTCTTATTTCCACTTCCTGTTTAACGGATTATAATTGTGTATCATCACACTTAGATTTTGATTGATGAGGATAAGGTCTTGAGAATGTTTTCCCTGGGCTAGCCTCAAACTATGATTTCTTAGCCTCCTGAGTAGCTAGGATTAGAGGCATGTACCACTGTACCTGGCAATTATTCATTCTTTTACAGTAGAAGTTCCCACCTCTAAATTGTCAATGGCTCTATATGTCCTCATATACCACAAAGATAATATAATTATAAAATAATGACTTTTTTTTGCCAGTCCTGGGGCTTGAACTCAGGTCCTGGGCACTGTCCCCGAACTTCTTTTGCTCAAGGGCATTCTACTGTACCTTGATCCACAATGCCACTTCTGGCTTTTTTTGTGTATGTGGTGCTGAGGAATTGAAACCAGGGCTTCATGAATGCTAGGCAAGCACTCTACCATTAAGCCACATTCCCAGCCAAATAATGACTTTTTTTTTTTTTGGCGGTCTGTCCTGGGGCTTGAACTCTGGGCTTGGGCACTGTCCCTGTGCTCTTCAGCTCAAGGCGAGTGCTCTACTGCTTGAGCCACAGTGCCTCTTCAGGTTTTCTAGTGGTTTATTGGAGATAAGAGTCTCACAGACTTTCCTGCCAGAGTCTCACAGACTTTCCTGCCCAGGCTGGCTTTGAACCTCGATCCTCAGATCTCAGCCTCCTGAGTAGCTAGGATTATAGGCATGAGCCACCGGCGCCTGGCTAATAATGACTATTTTTAAGTGTTATATAAAGAAACAGCTGACTCATATATCTAATTTAAGCCTCACAACATACCTAATCTATGAAAAAGGAAAAGAATTACCTCTTTTGACCATTTGAAGTCTCATATTTTCAGGATTCTCTGGAATTATGCAATGGAAAAGAGTAAGTGCTTCCTGCCACTCTGAAGAGGCATCAGTGTATTATAGAAGGAATCGACAGGAAATGGCTTTCAGTAAGAATTATACTTCTAAGAACATGTCAGTGAATCAATCAGAGTTTTCTATTATTAGCCTTTTAACTAAAATAACTCTAAATACAATTGAATATACACAGTTAATATATTTTTCATTTTAATATTAAGTTTAGCTGGATGCCAGTAGTTCATGCTTATAATCCTAGCTACTCAGGAGGCTGAGATCTGAGGATCACGGTTCAAAGCCAACCCTGGCAGAAAAATCCCCATGAGACTCTTATCTCCAGTTAACATTCAAAAGCCAGAAGTGGAGCTGTGACTCAAGGTGGTAGAATGATAGCTTTGAGCTATCAGGGGCAGTGCACAGGCCCTGAGTTCAAGACCCATGACTGACAAAAAATAAAAAATAAAAAATAGTAAGATATATTGATACTCAACCTTTGTAAAATGTAAAATGTTTGTATATCCTCATTTAATTCAATAATATTTTCTCTACATAGAGGTGAGAAATCTAATAGCATCAGCATTTATTATATATGATATAAAATAATTACTTTTAACAAAAATATAAATTTCAAAGTATTTAGAAAAATGAGTGACAAGTTTCTAGTCTGAGGAAGTTTAGGAGGCAAGAGTAAGAAAGGAAGCCACCACACTTTGTGTAAGGCACATGATCCTGAAGAAGACATGAGACACGGAGAGCATCTTACCTGTAAGGCAGAGAAGGAAAGTGCTTAGAGCCCATGATACATTTAGAAGCTCTGGAAAAATTTTTTTCTGATCCTGTGGCTTGAACTCTAGGCTGTACCTGAGCCTCTTTGTGCTTAAGGCTAACACTCTACTACTTGAGTCACAGAGCCACTTCCAGCCTTTACTGTGTATGTGGTACTGAGGAATGGAACCCAGGGCTTCATGCATACTAGGCAAGCACTCTATTGCTAAGCCACATTCCCAGCCATGTGGGCTGACTTCTAGTGTGAGCCACCTGTACCTAACTTGAAGATGTTTTAATTTAGTTTCTTTTTGTTGTTGTTGTTGTTTTTGCCAGTCCTGGGGCTTGAACTCAGGGCCTGAGCACTGTCCCTGAGCCTCTCTGTGCTCAAGGCTAATGCTGTACTACAGTGCCACTTCAACTTTTTCTGTTTATGCGATACTGAGGAATCAAACTCAGGGCTTCATGCATGCTAGGTAAGCCACTCTATCACCAAGCCACATTCCAAGCCCAATTTGGTTTCTTTTAAAATTTGACATAAATGTATATGTGGTAACGATTCCAGCTTCTGTTTATATCTGTGTTATACTTGTTTTTCTCTTTTCCAACACAATTTTAATTTTTTGATGGATTAAAGAAAGGAGTTCATGAAGGTAAAAGTTCCTAAGGGCCCCAAAAGCTACAATGTCACCCTGATAGTGAAGTCCTAGCAAAATCCTGTCTTGTTGACCTGGGTACTCACCACTGAGTTTAGCCTTTATTTTTTTTTTTTTTTTTTTTTTTTTTTAGAACCCCAGCCTATAATCCTGACTAACCCATCATTTTTAGTGCCCATCTAACTTATCATCGTAATGACTGCACTGACTCCTTTTTAGAAAATGATGATGCTCAGGGTTATTTATTGGCATTATTTGGCAGTTGATTTCTAGTGAAGGTTTAGCACGAAAGTTATTGAATAATTTCCACTTCTTCTTTTTTTTTTTTTTTTTTTTTTTTTTTATTGTAAAGCTACTATACAGAGGGTCACAGTTACATGAGTGAGGTTATGAGTACACTTCCTCTTGAACATTGTTACCCCCTCCATTGTTTTCCCCCTACCATCCCCTCCCTCCCTCCCTTCCCCGAGGTTCTTTTTTTTTTTTTTTTTTTTTGATTGTGATTAAATGATTACATAATTTCAAAGTCACAAGTTCATTCTAACTTCCCTGGAGCAAATTGTCTACCACAGTCTGTAATATATAACAGTGTTCACATGTTATATACCATATTTGTGATCAGCAGCATGAGGATATTTAGTAGTGGTTCAACCAGATGAGCGGGAGTTCTTTGTTTCTTAAGTCCTGTTAGTTTTGTCGTATCACTAACCTTTTGGATTTAGCATCCACTTATGAGGGAGACCATGTACCGTTTGTCTCTTCGTTCTTGGCTTACCTCGCTCAACATGATTCCTTCTAGCTCCATCCATTTCCCTGCAAATGCCATTATTTTGTCATTTCTAATGGCTGCATAATATTCCATTGTGTATAGATACCACAATTTTTGGATCCATTCATCTGTGGTGGGGCACCTAGGTTGTTTCCATATCCTAGCTATTGCGAACAGTGCTGCAATAAACATGGAGGTGCACGTGTCCTTGTATATTGGTTCCTGTTGTTCAGGGTAGATGCCTAGAAGTGGTATGACTGGGTCGTAAGGGAGGTCAATCTTTAGCTTTCTAAGGACCCTCCAGACTGCTTTCCAAAGTGGTTGTATAAGTGTACATTCCCACCAGCAGTGTAATAGGGTTCCTCTTTCTCCACATCCCCTCCAGCATTTGTCGTTGGCTGATTTGTGGATGTGGGACATTCTGACTGGGGTAAGGTGGTATCTCAGGGTTGTCTTTATTTGCATTTCCTTCACCACCAGGGATGATGAACATTTCCTCATGTGTTTCTTTGCCATTTTTATTTCTTCATTTGAGAAGTCCCTCTTTAGTTCCCTTGCCCATTTAGTAATTGGTTTGTTAGGTTTGGGAGGGATTAGTTTCTTGAGTTCCCTGTATATACAGGATGTTAACCCCTTGTCTGATATATTGCTGGTAAATATTTTTTCCCAATTAGTTGGTTGTCTTTCTAGCTTAGTTGCGATAGATTTAGCTGTGCAGAAGCTTTTTATTTTAAGGTAGTCCCATTTGTCGAGTCTCTCTCCAACTTGTTGTGACCCTGGGACTCTGTTCAGGAAGTTCCTTCCTGTGCCTATTAGTTCAAGTGTCTCTCCTACTCTGTCCTGCAGTAGTTTCAGAGATTCAGGTTTAATGTTAAGGTCTTTAATCCATTTTGAGTTGATGTTGGTGCATGGTGATAGGCTGGGGTCCACTTTTAGTTTTCTGCATGTGGCTGCCCAGTTTTCCCAGCACCAGCGGTTGAAGAGGCTGTGTTTCTTCCATTGTATGTCTTTGGCTCCTTTGTCGAATATCAGCTGGCTGTAGGCCTGTGGATTTATATCTGGATCTTCTATTCTGTTCCATTGGTCTTCGGGTCTGTTTTTGTGCCAGTACCATGCTGTCTTTGTGATTATAGCTCTGTAGTAGAGTTTGAAGTTCGGCATGGATAGCCCTCCCATATTGTCTTTATCCCCTAGAATTGTTTTGGCTATTCTAGGTCTTTTGTTGTTCCATATAAATTTTTGGACTGTTTTCTGTATTTCAGTGATGTACGTCATTGGGATTTTAATAGGAATTGCATTGAA